ACATCTTCCTGGCTACATTGTTGTTGTTTTAAAACTGGGCTTTCAAATAATTATGGCAATCATAAATTATCTACAGAGTAGAGAAGGAAGAAAGACATTTCACTCTGCTTTAATTATTTACTCTATTTAGTATGCACATCCAAACATGACCACCTGTGCAAAGAGAAACACAAAAAAGAAGAATCATCTGCCGGATACGATGACCTAAACCTTTTGGGGAGGTTATTCATTCATTTAAGATGTCAACTCAGTGCAGTGTATGCATCAGTGGTTGTTTAACTTTTAGTGGTCTAAAGTAGCTTAGATAATTAGCAAATGTGGTGGCCTACAGAGAGATGGGTTTCTGAACTCTCCGAAAAAACAGTGACTCATCTGTTTGTAAAGTCCTCCAAACGAAGCCCACGCTGCCCTCTTCCTACGCCTTACTGGGGATTCTGTTTTGCAGACACAGAGGTGTTTACTTGCTACAATAAGTTTAAAACGCCCAACACTTGAAACTCACAAATCAGTGTTTATTAGTTAGATATTACGTCTGGTTTGCATCACAAGGTTAAGATGTGTTTATCTGAGTGTAGTCTTTGTATATATACTAACCACCTCCAATGAATACAAGGTTTTTGGTCAAACACAGCAACACCATTGCAATTCTGTGTCATCTAATTCAGTGCTGGCTACCATTACGAGCACAATCAAGCAGTTCGACCCTCTTCTACGTGTAATGTGGATTTTAATGTCACATCACTCCTGTGGAAACTCCACTTTTTTGTTTGAATGGCCGAACGGGACAAGCGGAAACTGGAATATTACCTTTTTTAAATCCTTTTTGTGTTCTTGTTCTTTAAATCATACAGACACAAAACCCCTTCCCGAGCTTTTGACACAAAAAAATGTATTCACGTCCCCAGTCTAAGACAAATGTAGTGGTTGACATGGCAAAAGCGCACAGATAACTTTGTTATACTGCAGGAAGGCCCCTCACCTCTGCTCTGAATCTGACCCGACCAGGAAATAAGCTCCTTTATCTTTGACGTGCTGTGTACAAACATTTGAAGGCTTTAATAGCAAAAACTCAAGTTACAACTTTAAGAAACCTTGCTTACTGCCTGTGAACCCAGTTCAAGAGCTTGAAATCCCTAAATAAATACAGAACCAACGACAACAATTGCCTGTTACCTTATAGATTGAAATCTGGATTCTCCAACATACACCACTCCTTGCCAAAACTGTCAGTTTGTTTTTATATGTGACTGCATGAACAAATAGGATAAGAGCTTTCATGACTCTTATCCCATTTCCCTCTTTTCCAAAACAGGAAAAGAGGGAAGATTGTGTGGGGAGCTCAGTTTTGTGAACAAACTCCTATATATTGTATGATCAGGCTACCCCCTGTTGGCCTGTACAGTACATTTTATATTGTTTTAGTATTTCCTAAAAGTAATTCTCTGGTATGCAGAACTCTTGCCTTAAAGAGGTAGTTCACATTTTATGTCATACAGAAATAATTACAACAGCAATTCAAACAAAATTCACCTTAGGCGAGCAGACACGCCCAATACAACCTGCCGAAGTGAATTGAAATTTTGAGGTGAAATTGTTTGAACTTGGGAAAGGTTGTTAAGGCCAGATGGACTGGTCTGAGTATTTCAGTATCTGAACCCCAACAACTCTAGGGTTTACAGAGAAGAGTCTGAAAAATAAAATACCCAGTGAGTGGGTGAAAATGCCTTGTTGATACCAGAAATGTGGAGAAAATGGCTTGTCTACTTACAGCCGATAGGAAGGCAACCGTCAATCGAATAATCACACCTCAATCACTGGCATAGATGAATTGCAGCAGAAAGCCACAACAGCAGTCCGTCCTGAACAGGAAACTGAGGCTACAGTTCAAACAGACTCACCAAATTTGGACAACAGAAGGCTTAAAAAACATTGTCTGGTCTGATGAGTCTTGATTTCTGATCCAGCCTTGCTGATCATGTCCCTCTCTTTATGACCACAGCCTAATGTTCAGATGACTGTTTTCAGCAAGATAATCTACCATGTCACAAAGATCAAATAATCTTAAAGTTGTTTCTTGAACCTGTCACAGAGTTCATCTTAGTCAGATTGTCTCCACAGTCACTTGATCTCAAACCTATAGAGCACATTTGGCATGTAGCAGTGCAGAAGATCCATATCACGGTATGCAGCTAATAAATCTGCAGCGACTATTTGGCCAAAAATCTCAAGAGAAATGATTCCAGCACCTTCTTGAATCTGTAGTACTAAGGCAGCTTTAAAAGAAAAGGTGGGCACAACACAGTGTTAGCAAAGTGTTGTTAATAAAGTGTCTTGTAAGTGTAACCAGTGTCAGTACTGGGCATTGTACAGCCTGGAGGCCACATCCAGCCCATTGGTAGTCTCTTACCAGCCCACGTGATGTAAAAGGGAAATTAGCATTTAACCTCCTAAGACCCGAAATCTTCGTCATGCATTTGGATATTTGGGCTGATTGGGCCCAATGAATGTAAAAACAAATAATTACCAAATAATTACCAGAATGTTTTTTACCTTATTTTTGTTTTTAAGCCACATATGAGGATATTTGTTTAAAGTTTTGATAGAACGGTAGCAGTATAATGTCCTCGTAAGTGGATATCAGGCCCTTGTAGAGCAAAATTGAGTATTTTGGTCTAAATAACCCAAAATGTGATGTTCACATATGGTTTAAAAATGGAATACATCATGCAGTTTGTCCCATTTTAGCCCCCAAACACTCCATAATGATCCCCATAAGAAAATGATTTACTGGTTTTTGTGATTTTGTGGGAAATCATTATACAAATGTATTGCTTTTGTTTTAAACTTGCCGGCTATTATTTTTTAAATTTACATACAAGCAAATGCAGCGTCATGTTTGAGAGATTTGAGTTTGCCAGCGCCGAAAGATGCCAGCTCACACTAAACAAAGAAAGACCGATGCAGAATGTGGACTTTTTAACAAGACTTGGACTTGTAAGAATGCGTTTAATCAAATCAGAGGCAAAACCGCATGCTTAGTTTGTGGAGAGCTGATTGTGTGTGTGTAACGATTACAATCACATTCTCCATTATGAAAGTAAGCACACACCAACAAGCTCTTGACTGATGCAGAGTGCAGACAGACACCTGAACCTTTGCTAGCAAAGCTGCAAAAGCAGCAAGGACTTTTTACCAAGCTTTAAACATCCAGGCATGGAACTTTCAAGACCAGTTTTGTGATTTCCCACAAAATTGTAAGTTTATCAAAGAATGTTTGGTGGCACTTAACTTTAAAAAAAAAAGCAGACAGTTTAGTCTGTTTTCTCCTTGGCTCCAGATGAGAGCTCTGATGTTCACCACACACCTCAGTTACTCATCTTTGTACATGTGGTAACGAAAGAGTCTGAGATTACAGAGGAGCTGGCAGCAATGGACTCAGTGAAACAGACTCCGATAGTAAGTGAATTGTTCATGGAGGTTGAAAATGGACAAACTGGTATTGCAGCCAATGGCTGTCCAAATCCGACAGGGAAAAATTTCAGACTTTTGAAGTGGATGCAAGATAAAGAGACATGAAATGACAGCAGGACTGAAACTGGAGGTGTTGTGTGAGTCAGTGCTAAATATTAACCATGTTGTTGATGTGGTAACAAAAATAGTTACCTTTACCACAAGCACTTTTGATTCACTTCTGGCAGATCACTCTCAAATAGAAGAACTTTCCACACATGGTCAGAGACATGCTCAGAAGATGTTGGTTCTCTTTGGATCTATCTTCATATGAGAACAAACAATACAGATCCTCTCTCAGCGGTGAGCATGTGTACACTGTCTTTAAAATTCCCGTCCAAGCAAAACAGAAATAGCACTTTGGATAAAGTTAAAAGTCTCTGAAATTTTGCAAAAGTATGCACATTTCATTCACAATTGTTTTGGGGGATGTTGATTAAATAACAATAAAATGCTGGGAGACTTCAACGCTCATGTGGGCAACAGCAATGAGACCTGGAGGGGTGTAATTGAGAGGAACGGCCTCCCGGATCTGAACCCAAGCGGTGTTTTTTGGTTGGACTTATGTGCAAACTGCAGTTTGTCCATAACAAACAGCCTTATGTTGAACATAAGGTTGTCCATAAGTGCACGTGACACCAGGACACCCTAGGCTGCAGGTCAATGATCGACTGGGAATGCCTTGGTGTTCCCTCGGACAAGCTGAAGGAGAGGGAGGTCTGGGCTTCACTGCTTAGGCTGCTGCTCCCGTGACCTGGTCCCAGATAAGCGGAAGAAGATGGATGGATGGATAAAATGCTGCTACTATTTATTTCACATTTTCATTGCCTAATTGTAACGTCTAATTTACTCTTACCAGTAGGTATTTATAAAGAAAGAAAAAGAGCTTTAACAGAGATAAAATAATTATTGAGCAGAATTAAGTTGAGCTTCTCATGAGAAAGTTCAATGCCCACCCCTGTTATATACCAACAGTACAATATATCAACATATAAAAACAATGATTAAAAACATACTTAAACTGTAATTATTGCTATGTTTATCTCTAAAATATTTAGTATGGTGCTTTATAAGAGTATTATTTTTCAAATAGAAATACAACAAATTGCTCTTTGAAGAGTTTGAGGAATGTGCAGACCAAAGAGTTTGATTGGTAAGGGATCAAAATTCAAGTAAAATCATTTTATGATAAATAAACGGTCAACTTAATAAAAAATGTTTATCTATAGCTAAATTGTGCATTATTTTTATTTAAGAAGACAGGTGTGTTAGCAGCAATATTACAGTAGCATACAAATTACTGTCCTAATATCCAGTGTTACAGCTGGAAAACCTTAACTGATTTCTATTTGAATTCCGCATTGGACTGTTCTTTCAGAAATACAGCGAAAAACAAGACGGTGTTGAAAACACAGTAGTTTAGATGCCATATCTTCGATAAATACGGTAAGGAGAACAGGAAATCAGCTGGGATGTGCCGGGAATGTTCCAGTAAACCGTCTTTGTGTAAGGCACCGGCCAACGCCATGACACCGATATGTTGTAGGTAGAATGTGTATCGGCAATTTGACTTGTAATCTCAGTTTTTCAAATTTTTATACCGTAAATTACCCGTTTATTAGTAATTACCGTTAGTCGGACCAGTAGATGGTTTGAACGGCGTCACGACTCAAGCAGTCACCTGGATCTCTGATTGGCTCAGAGCGCTGATCCGGGTACTGCGCTAGAAGGAGCCCATTAGCTAAAGGTACCAATATGGCGGAGGTAAGAGGGAAAACAGGGGAGAAGCAATCGATGTTAAATCGACATTTTTAAAATTTGTGTGCTGTATTTTTCATTTTTACGCAATCGATTGAAGAAACAATGCTTTTTGCCTTGTGTGTAGCGTGTTTCGTCTCATAATTGTTGTTTTTATTTCTCTTAAATATGCTTAAATGTCTGGACTGATCCTTCACTACGAGGCCTCTGCGCCTTCGCTCTCAGCTGCTTCGGTGAAGCGGCTGTGTAAATTCATACGTAAATTTAACGTTAGCTTGCTGGTTCAAGTAAATTGCAGACCATATAATCTTTATGGTGAATGGAAAAATATTTTTTGATGTTCAGGCTGGAGTAGCGGCACCTACGTTTAAAAGGTTGCTCGACTTTATCGATTGCAGTACCGCGCAAACGAAATTAGTGTTTACATTTTTCGGTGGACAGCGTTAACATTTGGATTTGGAAATAGCTTTCCGGCTAGCTAAGCAGTACTGGATCTGCAATGACATATACAACCGATTATACAAGGTTTTTTTTATTCAGTCCTCTGGGGAAATTTTTTATTCCAGCGTTTAAAAAAACGTATCTTTCCCTGAGTGTGCAGCTCGGCTAGCGTTGTATTAGCCACCTATATCGGGTAACATTAGCGACAATTGCAGTTTTCCTGCCCGGCTATTTCCTTGGGTCATGTTACACACAACGTAAAAATATTTTATTGGTCATCCTGTTTTAATATTTGAGGTTAAAGCCCCCGAGTAATTTATTTTAATTCAAATTTTCTGTCTTGCTCCAATTTATGGTATTTTTTTCCCTTCTTTTCCAGGCTTCCCTAGGGAGTTCAAGTCCAGGTAATACGATTTACTGTGTAATCTATATTAAGGTGTGCTTTCAAAACTCTATTTTTACTTTTCACAAATAATAGTAAACAGAAATATCGAGATGAATTTCTGAAAATGTTATGAGTTTGTAATGAAGTAAGGTTTTGCTTATTGCACGATAACAATTTGGTATTTATAATTCTTTTATTTTTCTTTCCATTTTTCTCATTCAGTTGGCTCTTTATCATCAGAGGACCATGACTTTGATCCAACAGCAGAAATGTTAGTTCATGAGTATGATGATGAGAGGACTCTGGAGGAGGAAGAGTCTCTGGAAGGCGGAACAAATTTCAGATCTGAAATTGCAGATCTGGAAAAGGTATTATAATAAATCAGTAAATCCATATGCCATTCCAAATGTCATATGATAGGTGCAGTGTATAAATTTGTCCAACTTGACCATCTTGTACTTCGTACATGAAAACGGTATAACCCTGTGAAATGGAATTGATACATTTTTCCATTCATTTTTCTTTTAACAGGAAGGGAACATGCCTTTAGAGGAACTATTGGCCATTTATCGCTATGAGGCCTCAGCAGGCTCCAGTATAGACAGCTCCTCTGGAGACCTGACTGATGAGCTCCCCGACATGACTTTGGATAAGGTAAGGAGTTGCTGTTATTTGGTAGTTATACAGTTGCTAAGTAGATTTGTGAGAAGCAATTGGCAATAAATATAGCGTTAATTTGTAAAACAATGCTATATTTGTAACTTATGGTTTTTGTATGGTGTACAATTTATATTCCTTTTACTCACTAGGAGGAAATAGCTAAAGACCTTCTGTCTGGAGATTATGAGGAGGAGACCCAGTCCTCAGCTGATGATCTGACTCCTTCAGTTACCTCCCATGAGGCCACTGATTTCTTCCCAAGAACACTTAGATGTAAGTGATAGATTACTACTTTTAGATTAAAAGTATTTTATGTTTGCAACTGTCCGAATTAAATCTTTTTAAGTGTGGGCAATACAGTGATTAATGTGCTCATTATTTTTTTATATTAATATTATGAGAATACTGAGAATACTAAGATGTGTAGTTTGCTAACTTTCAAATTTAGATTTTGGTTGTGAATGCTAAATGTAGTAGCAGTTCCCTTCTTTTTGTCACAGATATTTGGTGCAGCTGACTAGTTTTTAATTATTTTAAAACCTAGTGTGTAATATGTCACACAATAAAACGGTAATTTGACTGTGGATCTTGGTGTTATAAAGGAGGGTCACTTACTGTTGTGCACTGTGAAATATTCACTTCTCCCACTTAGCTGTTGATGAAAAAGTTACTGTTAAGGTTATAAAATTTGACAAGGCTCGTTGTCTAACAAAACATTTAGATAAAGATGTGTTAAGTCTGCAGCTAATGCAGTTATTTGTGTAAGTTAAGCTTAGCTTATCTGTCTCTGACTGCTGTTCTCAAGTCCATTTAAGACTAAATTTAATTTTTAGCATGTCCAAATAGAGCCAGAATAAAAAAAAAAGTACAAATAGGTTGGATTAGAAAAGTAACTCAAATAAAACCATAATTATAACACTGTAAAATAAAGACAAACAGCTGGGATTTGTTATGCAGTTTGCATAACAAAAATGAATCATTAGCTCAGTCATTTTACTGGAAAAATATTTTTGTCATAAATTTGTTTTTGCAGCTGTGTTACTTACTCAGCCAACTTACCGTGGGTTTGTGGTTTGAAACAGTGTTGGTTCTTTACACATAACTTTACCTAAATTCTTTGGAAAGCTTCAAGTATGTTTGAGGAGATCTTACAACCTTTAGCAGAAAAACTGGAAAAAAAATTTTTGGGTAAAACATCCGGCTTTGGCATTAAGCAGCTGCCATTTAAATTCAGGGTGTGCTAAAGTATTTAAGATTTACTAATTGTTAAACATTTTTTTCTTTCTTTTAAAAAAAACCCCCCAGCAAACGCTATTTCTGACGGTGATAAAGAGTCAGAGTGTGATGAAGACGGCCCATGCCCAGAGGACTCGAGAAAGGTAAATGATTTGTTTCATTTGGAAACATGGATATAGGATATAGTTTACTCGCTGTTTCATGTTTGTTTCATGTTAAGTCAGGTTGCTTTTGAATTCAGACATGCCCTCTTATGCTTTGTAATAGGAAATAATGGTGGGATTGGAATACCAAGCAGAAGTTCCTTCTTGCCTCTGTCACTACAAAGATGAGGAGAAAGGTGAGTACTACTTCTTTTTTTTTTCTTTTTTTTGCTTTCATCACACGTTCCTAATCTATTCTTTAATATGGCTGCTTACAGTGTTGTTAACCATTCAATTAAGAATAGGTGATGTACACCTGGTGATTAATTTTAACATCATGTATTTGGTTGTATAGCATATGAAGATGAAGATGAGTTACTGTGGAGTCCAGGTGTATTATCAGAAAACAAGGTTAGAAGTTTCCTGTGTGAAGTATTGTCACGGACGACAGATGAAAAGACGGGGTGTGACAAACCAGGAATGCATGTGCGAGACAATGAGCAGGTCAGTCATGTCTTACTCAGTCCTTTACGTGGTTTGATAAAATGATGAATGTGTTATTAGCAGTGCACCTCAAGAAAGGTATTTTCTCTGACATTCATATCTGTTTAATTGTTTCTGATCAATTTTGGCAAATGCTATAATTTTTACTCTTTCATTCTTTCAATGTAGGCTTTACGTGAGCTTGTAAAATGCAACTACAACACCCGCGAAGCACTAGAAAGATATTGCAACCATGTAAAGTCCTCAAAAGGTAAGCAAGTGATTTCTCATAGGAAATGTCATTGTGATTCGTTTGCACCTCAAGACACTCAAAATGCTTCACATGTAGATTTCACTTTCATTCAAAGTCATTATTGTACATGGGCCCCCCCTTTTCAGTAATTAGACAAATGAGAATTGATGAACAGTTTCTTGATCATGTGAGGTCGAGCTGATTGCAAGTATTGGACTTGATGGCTGTTCACTGACATCAAAATATGAGAGATGTTAATGCAAATGTAGGACGCCATCATTAGGCTGAAAAACCAAAATAAACCTTTGGGACTAGACAAATTAGATGTCTTTGAAAAAGGAAAACATTGCCGCTCAGCAACACCAAAAGACTACATAAGACAACTAAAGCTTGGATTATAATCTGTTGCGGAATGCGGACACTGACAGCTGGAGGCCTGATGCCTGAGTTCTCGTTCCTGTTATACTTCTTTAAAATCAACTTGAAGTCCGCTGCTTGAGCGCATGCATGGTTGTATTGTCTCAGCAGACAAGTCTGCGCGGTCACAAAAAACAGGTAGGCATGCAAACTCTCACGTTTACTGTCTGATGACGACATTTACAAACCACTAGTTTCACTGAATAACAAGAACGCCTGATTAGGCCTGCCAAGGAATCCTCTAAAGGAGCAGTTTCTTCTGCCTAAAACATTTAGACAGATGAAACCAAGATGAACTTGTACCATAATGATTGGAAGTGAAAAGTATGGGGAAGGAGAGAAACGACTACCAAATCATGTGTTAAACATGAGGCAATGTTATGGCATGTGTTTATTGATTATGGAGACTGCAACAAGATTTTCTCAAGGCAAAGAAATGGGATATTCTTCACTTGCCAAGCCAGTGACCTGATCTTAAACCAGCGGAGCATCCCTTAAGGACCCATTGTGGTCACTACATTGTGTATTTTTGCCTTCAGTCTGGCCAAGCCACCCGTTTGGGGTTACAAAAACTGAGAGCTGAAGAACGAGTCGAAATAATGTCAATGTGTGACGCAGGACTGAGGATGTAACTGGAGATGGAACAACCCGATATACAGTATTGGTACCGGTCCAATCTTGACCTAAATTACTGGATCGGATATCAGGGAGAAATAAAAAAAAAAATGAATTAAACATCACAAAAGCACCTCACAAAACTTTTGACATGGCATACACCAGCTCGCGACCATAGCACGTCGGAGCAGTATGTGTCACCTGATAGAGCGGCTGTTGTGTGCGAGACCTGTCGGCGGTCTGGAGTGACTTCACACTAAAAAGCATCGGGAGCCTCGCTACATGCTGCCAAACCGGCATTTCATCTCTGAGTAGGCTATCCCAGTGTATTTTTATTTATTTTTTTGTTATTGTTATCATGCGATCTCTAGTCTAGTGTGTGTTACAATTCGCAAGGTAGCCGCTGTGAGTGTTACGGGCCCTTAACATTTGCTGAAGACGGAGCTGAAGGCAGAAGATCCACAAACAAATAGAAATTGAACACTGCTCCAATGAAAGCATCGCGACAGAAATCAATACCTTTGGTATTGTCCACAGGTGCTAGATCTGAGGCAAATTTAAACATTTGTAAAAAATTATTAGTTTGTCCAATTACTTTTGAACCTTTGGAATATGGGAGACTATATAAAAATGCCTGTTATTCCTAAATGGTTGATACTAAGTTTGGAATAATGGACCATTCAGTTGGGATGAATTTTATTGGTGGGACATGTCTTGGTTTCGACATGGCCTGTGGTTACCTTTGCACACCCATTGTTAAAATGGATTCATGGTTTCATTGCAGAAAAATCACCTCCATGGTCTGAAGAGGAATGCAAGAACTTTGAACATGCTCTTCAGATGTATGACAAGAACTTTCACCTCATTCAGAAACACAAAGTGAGTGTGAATTTATGGTTCCCTTTACAAGTGTATGCAAATAAAAATGTATACAAAGTTTTGTAAACTCTGTCCCCCTCCTCTCCTCTCAGGTCACAACAAGAACAGTAGCAGAATGTGTGGCATTTTATTACATGTGGAAAAAGTCAGAGCGCTTTGACTTCTTTGTGCAGCAGAATCGGTTCGGGAAGAAAAAGTTCAGCAACTATCCTGGAGTAACGTAAGTGAAATGAAACGGAGTGTCTGTCTTTATTGCTTTGCTTCAATAAAATGGAAAAAAGTTCACATAATATGGAAGAAACAAACCCAGTGACATTTCTTTGTTTCTAGTGACCTGATGGACAGGCTGGTGGATGAAGCGGAGGGGTTAGCTGTGGACAGTTCCTCCTCCGTGTGTTCAGGTGCTGGTGGTGGTGGAAGGCTGGAAACAACCACAGAACAGCAGCTTAGCCTGCTCAACTCCATCACTGCCAGCGACCTCACGGGTTAGTTACAGACCTTAGTTGTGCAGCGATGGTTTAAAAAAATAAAAATAAATGACTACTTCTTGTTGTTAACTGTTTTGTGTCTTTGCAGCTTTGAGCAACACTGTAGCCACAGTATGCAGTCCTGCAGAGGTTAGCTGCCTGGACTCCTACAGCTTTCCTCCACTGGACAGTCTCCATCGAGGTTCTCTGAACCACGAGGAATCCCTTGGGTTCCCTGCAAATGGTGCAGAACCTGACTGCCTCAATATGCTTGAGGCTGGCTTCTACCACTCAGATCTGGGCCAGCTGGGAGGCGTGTGCGTCAACAAGGACTGTGAGCGGCCCTCCAAGAGACTCAAGATGGCGCTGCCTGACTCCTTTATCAATGACGTATCCGTGGGTAACCTCGGAGTGGACTTTGATGCACGACGGACGACGACGCATCACCACCGAATCACCGGCACCAAAATGGCAGTATCTGTCACAGACTTTGGGAGCTTGGCTGGGAGCGGTGAGCCCAACGGGTTTCTGGGAGCACATGCACGGCACCACACACAGCACACTGCAGCACTTCAGTCAGAGTGATCTTCCTCATCTTCTTCCCTGTTCTTCCCTTTTAAGATCCCTTTTTTTCCTGCTTGTACATAAGACTGACCTCACTGGAAAATTCAATTTGTTTAAATTCTATTATATATATATATATCTATATATATGTATATGACTATACTTTGTTTTCATTTTTTGTGTAATATGACATCAGTGATGTCTATCATATAGAACTAAAATCTTGATTTCTCTCAAGAGTTTATATAGCCATTTATTTTATTTTTGTTTTGCGGTCTTGAGATGTGTAACGTCCATGTACAGCAGGGCCCAGGGGCTGCAGTAGGAGAGATGTGTCTCTTCCTCCTTCACATCTACACCCACCATCTTCAGAGCTTCAGTACCTTATCCTGCCATTCTTCTAGCTGCCAAAAACTTAGTTTCCCCAGCTCTGGTGTTAGCATTTAGTTGCCTGTATTTGTTGTTTAAGGTGGTACTATTTTTTTTTTTTGTTTACAGGTACTTTCCAGTAACCCAACTTGTGCAAATGGTTTTTATATGATTTGAATCTACCTGGGTACATAACTGTACGAAGAGCAACACTAGCATGGAGATTAGCTTGGAAACCAGGAAGTGTCGTGGCTTAAGCTGCTAAGGCCATCTTGTTTGGGTTTCTCTCTTTATGTTCTCTTGTGCTTTGTAGTCTGTCTGCTTATTTACCTTTGTTCAAAGTGGCCAATACTGGAGGGTTTTTTTTTTTTTTTTTTCCTTTTCTTTTAATAATGCCCATGTAGTCAAACCCAAATGAATGGCCTTGTTTTTTGGGGGGTTTTTTGTTGTTGTTTGTTTTGTTTTTTCTTTACATTTTAAAATAGGTGATTGAAAAATACCGGAGCAAGTTAATATACTGGGAGTCACCTTGTTTTACTGTTGAGTATATAAATATATTTTTAAAATCCTGCTACTTGCTAGAATATCAACGAACCATAACAGCAATATTGCAATGCAAAGATTTCTGGTTGGGTTAATAGCCATTTAAACCTCGACACAGTAAAGTATGTATTTATTGCATATACTTTTCTCTTTCTAAAGTTTTATTTCACCCTTTCAGTTCATGCTTTCACTCACGCTACGCTTAGGCAAGTTAAGCTGTGTGTGTGTCCTAATTAAGTGGATATGTTCCTAAATCAAGTAGCGCCTTTTTTTTTTTTTTTCCCCCAACCTGCTAGCAGTATTATTATTATTATTATTATTTTTTTTTTTTTTAAAGCTTCTCTGAGTTTGTATTGAACCTCTGCCTAGCCTGTACTGCCTAGTTATGCCTTTTTGAAATCCGGTTGACAATATTTTGGAGCCTAGTAGCAGAAATGGAGCTGTTTTTCGCTTGACTGAAGTTCATAATTGTGAGTTGTAAAACGTTTAGCAGGTCAGTGTCAGTTGATTGGATGCAGTAGTAGTGTTTACTTAATTTATCTATGCATTGTGCTATGACTATTTAGTTTGTTTCAGGGGTACATCATGTTTGTTGTGTCCATTCATGCCTAATAATCCTTAAGTTTAATCAAGCAGTTCAGTTTCAACGGCCAGCGTCAGAGAGGATAATCACATCTGTGTTTCATGTAAATAATTAGCAAATAGCCTTTAAAAAGTCTATTAACTGACCTCTTACACTTGTGAATCTGTGTTGATAAAAAGGTTTTACTTTGATTCCTTGTCAGAAAGGCAATAATTTGTAGATATGTACAGATATTTTGGGTTTTGCATTTTACTGGTTGACTTGGTGTTTTCATTTCTTTTCTCTCCTTGGAAAGTCACCCAGACACCAGGACACAGCTGAAACCACGCATGCCAGCTGTGCCCTGTTTCAAGTGTACCACTGAAAACGGCTTTACCCGAAGACGTATTGATATTACTCAATGTTGCAATTTTTGCATTCAAAACATGCAGCCATGTGTAAAAGACACTCATGTTTCTTTCCTTAAAAGAGTTTTTACATGTTGTCGTCGTCTATATTTGTCTCGATGGTAACGGGATGGCTGCTGCTGTAAGTGTGTGGAGAGCTAGTTTCTCTTTTAATGCAATGTGCATAATGCAGTAGGTCCTCCAAGCTCTTCTAGCTTTAGCAGTGCAGTGATATTTATTTCACCTGTGGTTTGTACAAAGACTCAGAAAAACTGTCAGAATGTAAAGGCCATTAAGTAGTAGAAGTAGGTTTTTCACCACCCTGTGAACTCTCGAAAATGTGATATTTTATTGATATCTCTGGTATGAGACTTGTGTGTGCAAGCAAGCACTAAACAAATTTATTTTATATTTTGTATTGTGTTTTGAAGTTTAAAAAAGAAAAAAATATAGCAGTTGTGGTTTTGAAGAAGGAAACAAAGTCCTTTGATGAAAATAAAAACACCTTTGTGAATAAAAACCTACAAAACTTAAAAATGTATATCCAGAAATATAGACAATCAAAAACTTCACTATGAGAAATGTTCAAGAAGCTATCTTTATTGTTTATAAAAATTGTACATAAACATTGAGTTTTTTTTTTTTTTTTCTTTTGTTAAACATTATTTTGTATTTTATGTTGTACTTTAATACCTTGTGTACAGATCCAGAAATAAAGCTCTGGAAAAGGTTCGAAGATTATTGCTGCATCTTTATCATTACGTTTATTCTTTACATGAGAGCGGCAGTTTAACAAAACTTGAGGCTTAAATTCCTCGTGATATTAAAAAAAAATAAAAATTGTTTTAGTCATTAGTTTTTGGACCAAGTATTATTTACAGCCCCCCCAAAACCATTCTTTAAACTAACAAAATCTCAGCTCAAGTTCTGCTTACCTGCCTGTTCCATCTGAACCAGCCTTAAATCCTTACAACCACAGGTTGGTAGGGAAAATGTATTGCCTGATTGGTTAGCAAGTGGTTGCTGATTGTTGCTGGGTGTCACAATTAGTCACAAACCACGTGTTATACCAAAATAAAACCTTGCACTTACTTTGGTCTCCATCAGATTGCTTCAGGTGCCCACAGTTTGCATGGAAGACAGCAACATGTCTGCAAACACTTGTCAACTATTAAGTAGTAAATGAAAACATTTGTCTACAAAATAAAAGCTGTCCAATCAACACAAAGGTGCAACCTTTACTTTGTAGGCAAAGCACTAAAAAGTACTATTCCTAGTCACACTAGGGAAAACTGGCTAGAGATTGAATAATGAACAACATTATTGGGACTGCGTGCAATAAACTTGCTGTCTTTTTCTTTTAAAATTGTTCCTTCCTTGATATAAGATCAGGTTTGCAACCACTCACTGCCTGATTGTAATTCATTGATTAATTAACTGTTAAAAATCTGCAAAATAGCTACAGAAATTCTCAACAACTACTTATATTCAGCCAGAACCTTACAGAGACATTCCTCCACAACCAGTGATAGGTTGGAGGACAGTGATTTAACTGCAATGTGACATTGGCACTCAGCAATTTTGCTTTTAGGAACCAGAATATAAGACTTGAATAAAGCAAATTAATCAAGCCTGAGATGAAGCATATTGGCCACTGCAAAAACTGCCATTGCCAAGCTCAGGTTCAGAGCCAACATGTATTACAGGTAATAAAATTCCCTAAAATAGAAAAATAGTTAATGATAATATAGATTATCAACGTAGATTGCAAACAAGAGGACCTTGAGCTTGACTTTTTTGTCAGTTCACTAATTTGTCTTTTAATAAAATAAAAACAAGTTAGACAAAGAGCAGACAATTTCACCTTACATCATAAAATATACAGACAATTCCTCTGCTTTTAGCCAAAACCACTACCAGCTTTATACTCACTAAACCAGCTGCTTATTATCTTGATCTTCTGAGAGAGATCTGTAGAGTGAGAAAGTCCTCTGCCAGAATCACATCTACCCCAGTGTCCTGCAAAGCCTCTTCAGCCTGTCTTTTTAACTCTGAAACATGGTCTTCATCTCCTTCCTTCACCATGGCGCTGGGTTTGTACCGCTGACTGAAGTGATTTAGCACCAGCCTCCGTGCACAGCAAGCCCGTGCTACTGCCGCTGCCATCTCAGGTGTGCTGTGCCCATGGTCCACTGCTTTCTCTCGGTGCTCGTTCCCAAGGGTGGCCTCATGAACCAGAATGTCCGCTCCGCTGCACAACCTCTGCGGCCCTTCCCCAAGCACCGAGCTACAGTCCCCTAAAATGCAGACTTTCCTCCCAGGAATAGCTTCTTCTAGCACCTCACTAGGCTGCACCACACGCCCGCTTTCAAGAGTTACTGACTCCCCAGCTTTGAGGCGCCCATAGAGAGGGCCTGGTTTCAGGCCTGTAGGATACAAAATGAGACCAGCTGCAAGGGTTGCTTTTCTGAAATTGTTTCTTGCATTAATAAATAATTGGTGACGACAGTTATTTCCATCTACTTTATATGCAGGGAATTTATATTTTTAATATTACACAAATAATGAAGAGATATTAAAAGAACAGAAAATACCTCTCACCTAGTTCCTTCAGCAGTTCTGTTTTCAACCTTCCAGGTCGATCTCGCTCCTGAATGCAAAAACCAAAGGAAGGGATGCGGTGAAACAACCTGAAGGCTTTGACCACAAACTTCTGGTCTTCAAAGAGAAGATAAGTGTCACTGGAGACATCCAAGGAGATTGTTCTGCCTGGTTGCTCCTGAGGATGGAGAGGACCGCACTCTGCTGCCATCTGGGGAGACAGAGAGGTGCTAGTATTCATCAGAAAAAAACAGCATACAAGTGGACAAAATACAAAATGTAAATGCTCAGGTGAAAACTGCCATAACTGGTGAGCTGAGGAGATATGCTCAAACATGTACCAGCGCAAGTCAAAGGAGGCATATCAGCAACAATTTGCACACTGATGTCTTTTAAATAAACAACTAAACTATCATGCACAGTAATAAAAAAAAAAACCCAGAAAAAAGCTACAATTTAAAGATGACCCTAAACACATCACACAGGGAAGTGATCATGTAAAGAGGAAAGCTGTGAAGATGCACTTTCTCTGGAGGAAGAGTATGACTGTCCTGCATGACAGGAAATCATATATATTTTTATAAAAACATAAATGAAATGATGAACCCACAAAAAGAGAATTTTTTAAAATCTTTTTGGCAAACATAGACTTTTTCATACCTCTTCAAAGTCTTTTTTTAGGGCTAAGATCAACTTTTAAAGTAAAAGTTGGAATTAGGTTTAGATTGAGGGTTTAGCACACAGTTAAACCTAGGGGTAAGAATCTTAAGAAGGTATTACTGTCAGTGAATGTCCTCACAAATATAACCTGCGCCCCCTAAACCTAAACCAAAATTAGTAGCAACAACTGCAATCAAGCATTTGCAATAACTGGCAATGAGTCTTTTACAGCGCTGTGGTGGAATTTTGGCCCAGTCATCTTTGCAGGATTGTTGTAATTTAGCCACACCGGAGAGCTACGTGTTCCTTTTTGGTCAGCAGTGGTTTTCTCTTTGAACTGTCCCATGG